GATCACAGTTTTTTTAATAAAATTTAATTTTTACTAAATTTTATTTTTTTTTTCGAAAAAAAGTTTCAATTTTTGATTTGAAATTTTTGTAGTTTTCATTTTAAATATGTAATAATAGTGATAATTTTTAACATATTTCACTTTCCGAATTTTTACGAATTTAGAATGTTTCCATTTTTTAAATATTACTGGATTTTAAAAATTTTTCATTTCGGTTTTTTATTTCCATTATTTTTACAAATATCGATTACCGCAAATGACGATCCTCCAAGAAAATACAGTTATTAAAGAAACTAGGTCGGAAGTGAGTTCTAGCGCTCGAAATCTACAAGAAAATATATTTAGTTAACTTTCGAAAATGCTGAAAAATGGGGCGAAATTTGAACAGAATTGTAAAAATTTGATGTTTAAAAAAATTGTCTAAAAATTATGAAAAAATTCAAGAACGCAGATCTCAAGGTCCTAATTCCAAAAAAATGTAGTGTGTTAATGTGTAAAACGCAACATTTTTAATATTTTCGGGTTTGAAAACAATTTTTTTTTTAAATTCTAAAAATTCCGATATTTTAACGGTCTATTCTGGAAAAACTGTTAGAGTAATCAAAGAAAAGAGGTCTTAAGTGAGTTCTAAAGCTCGAAATCCACAAGAAAATGTATTTGGTTAAGTTTCGAAAATGTTAAAAAATGGGTCTAAACTTGAAGAATGGAAAATTTTAATTATTAAAAAGTAGTGTAAAAATTCTTAAAAAAATCACAAATATAAATATCTCGAACTGCTGGTCCCCAAAACATAGGGTGTTTATATTCATCACGCAACATTTTCGAAATGTTCGGATTCAAAGTAATTTTTTTTTTATTCCAAAAATTTCGATATTTCAACAGTCGGCCGAGTGTGGACAAACGTTTGGAGTCATTAAAGAAACGAGGTCAGAAGTGAGTTCTAGAACTCGAAATCTACATGAAAATGTATTTAGTTAAGTTACGAAAATGGTCAAAAATGGGTCGGAATTTGAAGAATTGGAAAAATTTGATTTTTAAAAAAGTTGTCTAAAAATTCTTAAATAATTCAGGGATATATATCTCGAGCTGCTGATCGCCAAACATAGGGTGTTTATGTTCATCGCGCAACATTTTCGAAATGTTCGGGTTTAAAGTAATTTTTTTTTAATTACAAAAATTTCGATATTTCAACAGCCGGCCGATTCCGGAAAAAAGTTTGGAATTATTAAAGAAACGATGTCAGAATTGAGTTCTTCAGCTCGAAATCGATAAGAAAATGTACTTGGTTAAGTTTCGAAAATGTTAAAAAACGAGTCCAAATTTGAAGAATGCAAAAATTTCAACTTTAAAAAAGTAGTGTAAAAATACTCAAAAAATTCAGGGATGTAGGTCTCGACGTTCTGACTCGAAAAATATAGCATGCTTATGTTCATCGCGCAACATTTTCAAAACGTTCGCTTTTAACGACAAATTTTCTAAAAATTGGAAAATTTCGATATTTCAACGGCAAATTCTGGAAAAACAGGTAGAGGTATTAAGGAAACGAGGTCGGAAGTGGATTCTAGAGCTCCAAATCTACAAGAAAATGTAGTTGGTTAAGTTATGAAAATAGTCAAAAATGGGTCGGAATTTGAAGAAATGGAAAAATGTTATTTTTAGAAAAGTTGTCTAAAAATTCTTAAATAATTCAGGGATATATATATCGAGCTTCTGATCCCCAAAACATAGGGTGTTTATGTTCATCGCGCAACATTTTCGAAATGTTCAGGTTTAAATTTTTTTTTTTTTAATTCGAAAAATTTCGGGCGATCCTGGTAAAACGTTTGGAATTATTAAAGAAACGAGGTCAGAAGTGAGTTCTAGAGCTCGAAATCTATAAGAAAATGTACTTGGTTAAGTTTCGAAAATGTTGAAAAATCGGTCGAAATTTGAAGAATTTGAACAATTTTGTTTTGAAAAAAGTTATCTAAAAATTTTCAAAAAATTCAGGAATGTATATGTCGACCTGCTGGTTCCGAAAATGTAGCGTGTTTATATTTATCGCCCAATATTTCCAAAATCTTTAGTTTTAAAGACAAATCTTCTAAAAATTCGAAAATTTCGATATTTTAACGGCCGATGCTAGAAAAATGGTTGGAGTTATTAAAAACACGGAGGTCGGAAGTGGGTTTTAGAGCTTGGTAATGATTCGAAAATGGTCAAAAACGGCTCGAAATTTGAAGAATGTGGGACCATTATAAAAATTTCATTTTTAAAAAAGTTGTCTAAAAATTCTTAAAAATTAATATCTCGACGTACTGATTCCAAAAATATAGCGTGTTTATGTTAATAGCGCAACATCGTCAAAATGTTGGGTTTTAAAACAAACTTTCTAAAAATTCCAAATTTTCGATATTCCAATTGTAAAAAACTGTTGGAGTTATCAAAGAAAAGAGGTCGGTAGTGAGTTTTGTCGCTCGAAATCTACAAGAAAATATATTTATTAGTTAACTTTCGAAAATGCTGAAAAGTAGGTCGAAATTTGAACAAAGGGGACCATTGCAAAAATTTGATTTTTAAATAAGTTGTCTAAAAATTCTGAAAAAATTCAGGGATGTAGATTGGAAAGTGCTGATTCCAAAAAATGTAGTGTGCTATTGTTCAAAGCGCAACATTTTCAATATTTTCGGGTTTAAAAAAAATTTTTTTTTAATTCCGAAAATTCCGATATTTCAACTGTATATTCTGGAAAAACTGTTGGAGTAATCAAAGAAAAGAGGTCTTAAGTGACATCTAAAGCTCGAAATCCACAAGAAAATGTATTTACTTAGTTAAGTTTCGAAAATGTTAAAAAACTGTCTAAAAATTCTTAAAAAATTCAAGAATGTAGATCTCGACCTGCTGGCTCCGAAAATATAGCGTGTTTATATTCATCGCGCAATATTTTCAAAATCTTCGGTTTTAAAGCCAAATTTTCTAAAAATTCGAAAATTTCGATATTTCAACGTCCGATTCTCGAAAAACGGTCGGAATTATTAAGGAAACGAGGTGGGAAGTGGGTTCTAGAGTTCGAAATATACAAGAAAATATATTTAGTTAAGTTACGAAAATGGTCAAAAATGGGTCGAAATTTGAAGAATTGGAAAAATTTGATTTTTAGAAAAGTTGTCTAAAAATTCTTAAAAAATTCAGGAATGTAGATCTCGAGCTGCTGGTTCCAAACATATAACGTATTTATATTCATCGCGCAATATTTTCAAAATCTTCGGTTTTAAAGACAAATTTTCTAAAAATTCGAAAATTTCGATATTTCAACGGCCGATTCTGGAAAAACGGTTGGAGTTATTACGGAAACGAGGTCGGAAGTGGATTCTAGAGCTCGAAATCTACAAGAAAATGTATTTGGTTAAGTTACGAAAATGGGCAAAAATGGGTCGGAATTTGAAGAATTTCAACAATTTTATTTTTAAAAAAGTTGTCTAAAAATTTTTAAAAAATTCAGGAATGTAGATCCCGACCTGCTGGTTCCGAAAATATAGCGTGCAATATTTTCAAGATCCACGGTTTTAAAGACAAATTTTCTAAAAATTCGAAAATTTCGATTTCAACGGCCGGTTCTGGAAAAACAGTTGGAGCTATTACGGAAACGAGGTCGGAAGTGGGTTCTAGAGCTCGAAATCTACAAGAAAATTGTGAGAAATGGGTAGAAATTTGAAGAATGAGGGACCACTGGAAAAATTTCATTTTTGAAAGAGTTGTCTAAAAATTCTCAAAAAATTCACCATTCGATCGCCTTTAGTTTTCGAACTTTTGATATTTCAGTTTTTAGATTTTGCAATTTTTGATTTGCAATTTCACGAGTTGTCAATTTTTATTTTTTCTCTTTTCCCATTTTTTAGATTTTCGTTTCGTTTTCGTTTTCAGTTTTTTTTGTTAGTACTTGCTAAAATCCTCCCCCTCTTTATTCCAGTGACTACTCTTAATATTGTTCAGTGATATCTTAGCAAGTAGCAGCCCCGCCCACCCGCCTTCTATTTTCTTAGAGTGTATATCATTTGCCAAAATTACTCTTATCTTATCAGCTACAAGCCCGGCCTACCCGCCCTCTCTTTCTTAGAGGGTATATCATTTGCCAAAATTACTCCTAACTAATTGGCAAGTACTAGGCCCTCCCACCCGCCCTCTATTCTATTTCTAATCAGTCTTATTTTAGCTAGTACTTACAAAAAAAAAGAAAGAAAATAGGGCGAGCGGGCGCCACTACCTGCTAAGATAAGACTGAAGAATATTAAGAGTAGTCATTCCAATAAAGAGGGGGTGGGTGGACGGGGCTTATAAGATTCTTTAGAAAAAAGGTCAACAAAGTAAAAAGCGGCCCCGCCCCCCACACCTACCCCTATTCCGTTTGATCATTCATTCTTATTGGCTCTGAAGAACTGGAAGTTGGATTTCATAGTGATAAATAATAGAATCTCGAATTACATTTTTTTTTTAATAAAATTTAATTTTTACTAAATTTTATATTTTTTCGGAAAAATGTTTCAATTTTTAGATTTTTCGATTTTTGCTTTCTATCATTCATATAAAATCCTTTGACTAAAGATTCTTAAGAAACCAAAAAACAAATATTTTTTAAAAATTGTATTTTCCCGGCGCCTCCCCCATTTTTATGCAAACTTTTAAATTAGTCGAGTTGTTTCGAAAATGTGTCATTATTGTTCGAATTTTTTCCAGGATCACGAATCTGCAGCTATTTTTACCACATCTTGTCACAAAATCGAAAAAATACAAAAACAGCTATCGTTCGTTAAATCTCCCCGAAAACGAATTGTTTACCTTAGTTTAAATTTATGCTTGTTTAATTATTTTATTCGGAATTCAAGATCTTTAAAGAAATATATAATTGTTTCTATAATGTAAAATCCCTTATATTTTTAATTTTAGTTATAGCTCCTCGTGTTTAATAAACACCGAAAATCCTGAATAATACTTTTAAGATCATTTTAAATAATTTGTTCCAGTCTCTGTTATAAACTTGCAAAATCCCACGAAACTACTTACATCCTTTCAAGACATCGCAATAACACTCACTACAATAAGAAGGATGCGCCTGAATTCAGCGGTAACATAAGAATTTTGCAACGCAAAGACGACAATCCAATAAAATAGGAGTAATATTGTATACAGAATGTGCATCCATGCACTAGCATAATATAAATTTTATTCTGTATGTATTTGGACGGTATTATTTAATAAATCAGTACTGAGTTTCATTGACTTCTCCGTTACCAGTTGCCAAGGATATCTTTTATATCCTGAGAGAGTGTATTTACGTTTATACACCCCCAAGTTATCCAAAAACCTGATTCTCATTGCTTCAGTTAACTACTCCACCTTGAATCAGAAAAACACACAACTGACCCACACCCCTTAATACCACCTTCACTCAACTGGACATTCCTCCAATATCAAATTATTTCCAAGTTTAAAACACTTCCCCGTATCAACTCAGCCACAAACTTTTAATGATTACTCTCCACCGCCCACTTTCCCAGATGTCCCTTGCAAACATTTACCCACCCCGACCTCTCTCCAACACCAACTCCCGCAAACCGCCGCCGATAATTCATATCCAAATTTATTTAACGCACTTATCGTGTGCCAAATATCTCCAAGAAATCCCCGGCCGGCCATCGCATTATTCACGATGTTTAGTTTCAATTTTTAATCCCGCTCGGTTTCCCTCCCTTAATTCGTGATATCGCCAAATCGGTTTTATTCCGAACCGTCTGAAAAATGACGCAGATACCTGACGTCGTTTCAATAAAATTGAGCTCGGATGAAGTGCCGCGAGTTGCGATCGAAATAATAAAGTTAATCGCAGAGGACAAGAATGGAGAGGCTGTTTGCAGATCATTATCGCAAGTTTGGTAAAAATCGAAGGGTGCAGAGGAATCGAACATTTGCGAGATAAAGTTCTTATTATGGAGGATTTTTAAATTCATCTGTTGATTGGGTTTTGATGGCTTATAGTCGAACTATGTATAAACTCGGTCAGGTCACTAGTCATCCTACCTGCGGCTCCCTCTACTTTTGGGTGTGGTCAGCAAAAACGCTACACTAATTACAGAAATCTTCTTTTCCGTACATCTAGTTCCATTGTTAACAAGAACCCCCGAAACCCTCGACTAGGTGTATTGTGTTAAACAAGACATTTGCGGCCATCCGGAGCATCCCTCCTCCGTCGAAACTCGTTCTGACCAGTTCATATAACTGTCAGCAGAGAGCGACATCGCTTCATCATGGTCAGCCGTGATGAATGATACGGTCAGCCAGGAGGCGCCACCGTCGCGTCGGTCACAGCTGACTAGCACATTTTCATTTCACATAATAAACGCACGAGACCCGATCGCAGCACCTCCGCCTCTCCCCTAGGACGGTTCCCGGCAAATAAAAAAGGAAAAATTCTTATTACAGTCCCGACGATTTAAAAACTCCCCGAAACAAGAAAGAACGTCACGTGTCCCACGTAAATTACGGCTTATTTATCTAGGTACGTGAGCGCATTGGAAGCCCATAAAATCCCAAGTACAAGTTTTAATGGTCCTGGTTGACACTACGCCGGGAATCCCCGGCGAAGCAGATCGGTTATAACCGAGATGTACGAGTCGCACGCAATATAAAGTCATCGTTTTATCGGTTTATTAACACGGACGTTCCCCCGGCGTTTGGCAGCGATCGAGGTCGTTTTTTATCGCACTTAATATCCCTGTCGAACCTTTTCAATTCGAAAATTAAACTCTTTGGCCAAAACACAAGTTACATGACCGCAAGCGAGCACAGGAACATTCGTTTCGGGTCTAAAGGGGTGATACAAATTATTTTGGTTTGATGCGCCGTGGGCGAGCTTTTCGCGTCTGTTTGCTTTGATAAAAAATGAATGCGGGGCTGCGAGGCCGGGATGGGTGGGTTTTTTTCATTCTGGGAGGCCGATTTGATGTTTTTGTGTGTTTTACGAGGATTAAACAAAAACTCGCTAAATCAACAGCGTGTGCAAGCCGAAGACTTTCTAGCGGGACGAGCTGCGGTTAAATTACTTTGGAATGTAGCAGTCGGGGTGGTAACTTTATGTCTTGCTAAGTTGTCAACAAAATGTCCGCGCGAGCAAACCCCTGTCTGATATCCTCAACAGCTGCGAATACGGTTCAACACGAGAATCAAACATAAAACCGGGAATAAACTGAGTCACTTGCTATATGTTCATACAAATCGGACAACGTAGTGTTCCGGAACTTTTAGCCAAGGCGTCGTCGACAGCTTCTTCGCGTCAGATTTTTTTGATCCAACCTAAGCGAGCAACTCGTCCTGAGTAGATTTGCGACAAGATTATCGCAGACATTGAAGGTTTTTTAAGCAGAAAATGTTGCAATGACGTAATTATATATTTTTAATTGAAGAGGGAAAGCCGGATAATAATTTAATCCTTATTTGGTCAATAAATACATCCACATGCATGCGTTTTTACTTTTAGCAATTATGCTAATTTGCAAGTGAATTTAGCACAATGTAAATATATTACAGGCATATGCAGAACATGCAAACATATTTGTGTAAACATATATATTAATGTTATATTATTAAATACGAGAACTGTCCAAGGACGTCACGACCGCAGGAGTTGGATAATCTGTTGATATTTCAGAAACCTTTAAAGCTACATTGTTTCCCAAAATAATATGTATAATAACGTAAATGACACTTTCATTCTGTAAAGATGTCATTTTTAGTTTCCCACAACGAGTATCAACTAAGTTAAAAATAACAATAGTAAGTTTTAGATTCTTATTATGATTATCATGAAATGCCTGAAGTCATTGTCGTGAAACATGGCTAAGAACAATCCCGATTAAACCAGCTTTCAAACAGAAAAAACGCGTTACGAAAAAGTTTTCTGCAAATCCTACAATATGGTAAGTTCCAAAATCAATTAATAATATATTTTTTTTTTTTTGTAAATCTAGGCATTTTTTTAACTATCAATCGTAATGCAAATAATACTTTTTTCATTTAAAATCGTCATGAAACAATTTTTTTTTTTTGACAAATTTATAAATTGTTAAATTGACAGCTGATTTCTAGCGCCCCTTTTTGCCCAAATTTTGGCCTTTATTATCAAAATCCAAAAAAAATGATTTGTGCACCACGTTTTGAAAGGTGGATGACTTTCGAAACTTGTTGCACAATAACTATTTTAATTTAATACTGAAGTATTTTCTTTCCTTTTTTTTTTTTTTCTCTTATTCAGTTCCCGACGGTGGCCTTTATTTAAATCTATACGTTTTCTCTCGATGGATCGAGAACGCCGCTTCCAGGGTTTTCTCGACACTGGAATGAAGAGGGGGTGGGTAGGCGGGGCTATTGCTTCCTTGTAAAAGACTCTGTGGAAAAACCTTAAACTTAGCCCCGCCCACCGACCCTGCCTCTATTTCAGTGATTCATGTTTTATAAATAGTCCGAATGAAAGGTGGATCTCAACTGAACAGAGATCAAATCGTTATCTTAGCAAGTACTTTTGTACTTCTGCCTTATGAATCCGCCCTTATTTTTTACCATGAACGTCCATATTTTGTAAATTTTATATTAGCACTGTGTAGAAGCGCGGTTCTTTAAAATTAATATATGCATATTTCAGCATTTTTGGGTGGATATATATCCACATACTTCAGAAAAACTTTGTACATATAAATCCGGACTCTACTTATGAGCAGACAATAGCCCCGCCGACCCACCTCCTCTTCATTCTAGTGACTATTCTTAATATTGTTCAGTGTTATATCAACAAGTACTAGCCCCGCCCACCCGCCCTCTGTATTCTTAGAGGATGTTATTTGCCAAAATCAGTCTTAACTTGGCAGGTACTAGCCCCCCCCCCCCCCACGCGCCCACTATTTTCTTAGAGAGTTAAGTCATCTGCCAAATTCAGTCTTATCTTAGCAAATATGTTTAAACTTGTACTTTATGAACCCGCCTTTATTTTTTACCCTGAACATCCATATCTTATAACTTTTATATTAGCAGTGTGTAGAAGCCCTGTCCTCTACAAATTTAATATAGGCATTTTTTTAACTATCAATCGTAATGCAAATAATACTTTTTTCACTTAAAATCGTCATGAGACAATTTTTTTGACAAATTTGTAAATTGTTAAATTAGCAGCTGATTTCTAGCGCCCCTTTTTGCCCAAATTTTGGCATTTATTATCAAAATACAAAAAAAAATTGCTTGTGCACCACTTTGAAAGGTACAAGCCTTTCAAAACTTATTGCACAAATAACTATTTAAATTTAATACTGAAGTATTTTCTTTTCTTTTCTTTTTCTCTTATTCAGTTCACGACGGCCTCAATTTAAATCTATACGTTTTCTCTCGATGGATCGAGAACGCCGCTTCCAGGGTTTTCTCGACACTGGAATGAAGAGGGGGTGGGTAGGCGGGGCTATTGCTTGCTTATAAAAGACTCTCTGTAGAAAAACCTTAAACTTAGCCCCGCCCACCCACCCTGCCTCTATTTCAGTGATTCATTTTATCTAAATAGTCCGAATGAAAGGTGGATTTCAACTGAACAGAGATAAAATCGCTAGAATGAGAGCAGCGTGTGTGGGCGGAGCTAGTACCTGCTAAGATAAGGCTGAGTTTGGTAAATGGCATATCTTCGAAGAAAAGAGAGGGTGGGTGGGCGGGGCTAATATTTTCTAAGGTAAGACTGATTTTGGCAAATGACGTACCTTCTAATAAAATAGAGGGCGGGTGGGCGGGGCTAGTACTTGCGAAGATAACACTGACTTTGGAAAATGAGATTCTATAAGAAAATAAAGGGTCAAGGGGCGGGGTTAAAACGTGCTATAATAGAACTGAGCAATATTTAGAGTAATTACTGGAATGAAGAGGGGGTGGGTAGGTGGAGCTATTGCTTGCTTATAAAAGATTCTGTAGAAAAAAGTAAAACTTATCCCCGCCCACCCACCCGTTCCCTCATTTTTTTTTTTCTGAAATAAGAAAGAAATCTTATGGTAAATAGTGTATCAAAAAATTACGATTAGCGCTTATCTTTGACAGCCTACGTTCTAATAGTTCCCATTCGTACTCAACCAAAGAATATACAATTAACCCCGCCCACCCACCCCGCCTCTATTTCAGTTGATCTCAACTGAACAGAGATAAAATCGTTAGAATGAGAGCAGCGTGTGGGCGG